TAGAGGTGAGGTGCCGCATTTGGGTCCACATTTTTTTACTATTAGTCTGGATGAGCATTTTTATTTACCTTTTCTGTATATATCTCTCATTTATTTTAGATTAAGTACCAGCTCTATGTAAGACACACACACATATATATATATATATATATATATTTAAATAAAAACACAAACTCATCAGTGACCAAATTCTGTTTTTTTCTAGGCTTCTAGCAGTGCAGGAAACTTGGGTGTACTCATTCCTGTAATAGCTGTGGTGAGTATTTGCTAGTTGAGTGACTTAGACTCCAGATAATTGTTCTCAAGTTTGAGTATTGCCTAGTCATACAGAGTAAATGCCTGAGAAAAATATCATTTTGAGAAACCAGTGATTGTGTCTGTATGACTATTTCATCCACTTCTAGCTCTTTTGCGAATGCCCATAGGTATGTGTCTGCTGTGGCTGCTTGGCCAGGGATCTGCTTTAGTTCCCTCTTGCATGACTCCCAGGTCTGTGATCTGACTTTAGACTCATCCTGTCTCTTGTGGACTGCTCTGGTACCCATGACTGATGCCGAAAGAGAACCTGCATCCATTCCTTCTCTCGCCCCTTCCTGTGAGATGATACCTGGGGCTACTGGTTGGTGCTTTGGCCTTGGAGCTGTAGCCTTCAGTTTCCTCTGGGGGACCTTGTTGGCATGCAGGCCAGGCACCTATTGGGCATAGTCTTCCCTGCAGTCATTGGTTGCTCACGGTAGGCCCTATCTTTTGTTACACACTGCTAAGGTGCAGAACCTGTTTCAACCTCTAGCCACATCCTCCCAGATAATCTTTATAAAGCTCATTTTCCCCTTATCAGTATTTGCCAGCCACCAGTCCTAAGCTAGAGTCTGGGTTCTAGTATTTATTTTCATTCCTTATTTTCTACTGTCTACTTCACCACTTTCTAGTTAAAACCTTGCTTCTTCCTTCTAGTTCCTTCCCACTTCCCCCATCTAGTAGTTCAATTTTCTTTTTAAAAGCACAGGATCTGACCTTTGAGCTGGTAAGGTGACCCAGCATGAAGATCTTGGACAAACAGATGGAGAAGCAGCTCCCCTGATCTTAGCAAAGTGGTTTCTGTACTTGCCGCATCATTCTGACTCGGGAGACTTTGATTGTTGTCCAGATGTATAACACATAGCAACTGATTTATTGCTATTTATATTTTCATAGTAATTTGTTAGTACTATATTTTGTGTAGTATTCCACTTCTAGTTTACCTTTTTTTCTACCTGTGCTTTTCTTTTCTGTCCTTCCTCCAATAAGTGACTGATTCAGAAAGGAAGCGGTGTTGCTTGTTCCCTGCAACATCTGCATCAGAACAGTCTCCTCAAGTGCACTTGAGACAAAGGCTGCAGCACAGCGATCATACCTGTCTCTCTTGTGACTATGAACATTCCCCGGGGATCCTTCATACCTGCCATTCGGTATTCTCCCCTTCAGGATTCAAGTGTTGCTGGGACTCCCTCTGCCATAGTATTTTCTTTGACACCCTCTTTGGTTAACTTTTTCAAGTAGATTTTTTCCCCACTTTTTAATTAATATTGACTAGTCTCCAGCTGTGTTATAGAAGTTTCATTGCACATGGCTCTTATTTATCTGACAGGAAATGTGAGGCACACACTTAACCTCTTGGAGGAGAGAATAGTGAGGTGGCAGACTCCCTGGGAGAGGTGATTGTGTCAGAAAGATTTCTGGAGACAGAGAAACATGCTTGGGGTGATACTTAGTCAGACATCTTTGAACACCAGAATTCTCTGAACCATATACCTGTGAGCTTCCAATTACGTTTAGCAATGACCACTTAAAGTTGAATAAATGTGTGGAAGAACTCTAAGGGGTACTTTGCGTATCTGGGGAGTGATAACTGGTGAGGTTGATTGGGAGTACAAGGGTTTTAGGGTCACAAAGAATGGGGTTGAACCCCAGTGTGCCTGTGGGATCCTGTGTAAGTATCTCAGCTTCCCCCACACGACTTCTTGAAAAGATAGTGGTGACCCTCTGAGGTGCCTAGTAGGTGGGTATAAGCATAACTGTTATTGATAGGCTAGAACATACTTCAAATACTCATGTTTCCTCCACTGTGATGACCTTTTACATAAATAGAATATGTATTGTATTTTTAACAAAAGTTAATGGTTATATTTTGGGGGAGAAAACAAATATTTGATTCTCTTGCTCAACAAAGAACACAGAGATCATGGCTTCTTGCATTTACTTTCTGGTTACCCCTTGGACCTTATAGGAAAAACTAATTTCCAAAGTTTTTTTAATACTCTGCTTTTTTTTTTCTTCTTTTTATAAAGGGAAAAGATACTCTATTTTGGCTCTTTTGCTGACAGTGTCTCAAATACAAAAATAGCTGCTCAATGGTCAGTGACCTTGGGAACAGAGTGAGAGTGGCTCAGGACTAGGTCATGTTATGTCTGAGGCTCTTTCATGCTTAGATTTGTGATTTTTGTCCTTAACTTTATGAGTAATGTTTCTTCAGAAATCTAAATAGTTCCTGTCCACTATCTAAGTAGGCATTTTGAAGGATATTACATAGAGACCTGGCTGCTCCGAGGTCTTAAGATGATTTAATAGGACAACTATTCTCAAAAGCTTTGTGCACCTCATTTAGTGCTCCTTCATATGTGCCTCTTACAGTGTTTGTAACTTTGGATAGGTTATTTATTCTCCCAATGCCTCTAAAATGAGGTTAATGGACTAATTTTGTAGATCATGGACCATTTGAAAGCTGTGCCATCTTCCTCCACCAAAATGTATCTACACACACTGTACCTCAGGAAAATAAGTGGGAGAATCCCCTCCCCTGGCACCCACCCACCCATTCCTCCACCAGGTTAGGAACCCTTTAGCTATATAAATACTCTTTTAGATGGAGATAAAAGTAATAAGCCCTTTGTTAGCAGCTGCTAAGCACCAAGACTGATTTAAAGCCTTCTAGGCATTAATTCATTTAATCCTCACAACAGTCCCCACTTGATTACAAGTGAGGAAACTCAGACATACAACATGCTTCTAAGTCCCATTGCTACTAAATTTTGGAGCCAGGATTCACATGTACCTTGAAACATAGGCTAGGTGGTTTCTGAGAGAGACTGTGAAGGCATTTGGAGTGGGTATAAATGAATGCAAAGCATGCCTGTGCTAAACTTTTGCCTGCATTGAGTCTCAGAGGAACCTGAGATGGCTCCTGCAGAGGTGGGTCTACCTCATTGGAAGTGGGATTATTGGTTTTGCTGGGTAGGGAGGGGGCAGACATAGGAGGGGACTGAAAGCTTAGTCATTTGAGATAGCTACTTTTAGGAGTGGGGGGAGCAAGAGGTTGAGAAATACAGTATGAACACTTGAAAAGAACACTGTTGAAGTGAATTTGAGGAGGAATTCAAGGAGTGGGTTGCCAGTAACCTCGTTTCACTGAGAGATCAATTAAGACCCTGTGACAAGAAGGACTTGGTCCCAACCATATACCAGTAGTAGATAGTAGAAGCAGAGGGCCTGGTGCTGGAAGCTGGGAAGAAAGGATGTGGAAAGGGTTAGCCTTGACTAGCAAGGCCTGGGTTTGAATTTGGGCTTGGGACAGATCATTTCTTCTTCAGGAACTGTTTCATCAGCTGCAAAAAGTAGTAACAGTGTGAAGCTCCCAGGATTGGTGTGAGGACTCCTTGACAAGCCACGGGCACACCACCATCTCACTGTCCCTCTTTGCTGTTCTCATGATTGGTATTGGTCTCACTGGATTAGAAATAAGGTGATTCTCTGAATCACCACCTCCCCTTTAACCCCGTCTCCAGCACTCAGTGCATCCACATCTTGGATAGGTTTAAGTGCCCTGCCTAGTTCCTCCTTTGCAGAGCTACTGGGGGTCAGAACTCTCAGCCAAAACAAATAGTGATTTTGATGCCCTTCCCATCACTGGCTCACTGGCGATTGTCTCAGCACCCCATGGGTGTTGACGTTCTTGGACTTTTGAGCAGCGTATTTGGATTCCAGTTGTCTTACCCAGGTAGCAATCTAGAGAGACATTCCTCAGATGTTCCCTCTTTTATTGAACCTGACTCACTATAGGAGCAAAGATCTCTTTGCACGCAGAGATGAAAGCTGAAGTACATGTGCCACATGACTGGCATTTCAGAAATTATCCAAAGTAACCCTGTAACACTCACCCCATCTTGATTCTGAGAATATGCCTTGTTGAGTACAGATCAGTATAGAACTCACTATAGAACTCAAATTACTTTTTGTCAATCTTTGTCATTCCTAGGCATATCAACTATTTTTAATTTGACCTTTTTTAGTTATTTGTGCTTCAAGAAATAGAATTGTGACAGATACACAAGTAAAAGTGGTATTTATTTATCTTTAGAGTGGAAGGCATGGCCACATATACACTGACCACTGGGCAGCAGTGAGGTAACAGCAGGAGTACAGTGACATCTAGCATGAATTTAGTTGGGCCTTGAAAGAACTAATCCCCAATACATAGGGAACACATGGAATATCTCAAGATAACTTTTATTCTGGGCATCAGAAATGGTACACCAACCTTCGGAGAAGAGAAAGGGGTTTTGCAGTTCATTTTGTGTTCTCTCTTCAGATGAGAAGCCCTGGTTAAAAAAGGCTAATACAGCCAGATGTGCAAGGTAGATACTGTAGAGGGGGAGGAGGGGCTGCCAGGGTGGCCCCCCTAGGTTTCCTGTAAGGACATGGGAAGTACTGAGTAAACCTCTCATTAGCAGTTGACATGCTACAGCAGTTGACATTTCTGTGAACTGATGGCATTGTTCACTATGCAGAATTGCTTCCAGTAAACTTCTTAGTTGTAACCTTGTTCTCTCATATGGGCCTTGATTTCAGAATGGTAGCACAAAATACAGATGTCATGATGCCAAAACATCTCTGTTCTCATTGTTAGAATGGAAACAGAATTACAGCGTGGCCCCAAAACACGTGAGATGCCCAGGCCTCCACTTTTAAGACTTGGTGGGGTTGGCAACTCTCCCCATGAAGAGCAGGCAGCTGGTGCGGTGCTCATAGATGAGAAACAGAAAAGGGCGGTCGACAGTGAAACGCACTTGGGTAGACAGTGGCATGAACCCCACTGTGGTCACCGCAGCAGCTTCGGTGCCCTCCTCATTCACTGTAATAGTACCTTGGTGCTTGAACTGTTCAAAATGGAAAGGAAAGTTGTCAGGTCCCATCAGTTGGCATGCAGAGGGTAAGGATAAGATAGTGAAATCTCATCTCCTTCAGGGAAAGGGTTAGAAAGAGCATGTAAAAGCTACAGTCCACGGTTACTCAAAATGACCCTTGAAAAAATTTTAATCACCCGTCAGTTATAGTAATCATGCTTAGAGTTGTATAAACATTATTTACCATAACTCTCTAGCTTCACATTCATTCTTGACAATATGAGCTGCTTGCCAGCCATGCAGCGGCTGCTCATGCCCTGGGGTGCTCTGCCAAGGAAGGAAAGCTCTGGGTGTGCACAGTGTTTGGATTGGTGTTCTCGTTTTTTTTCACAGTGCCTATTAGTGGTGTTTGAAGTTCAGTGTGCAGTAGTACAATGTCTCTGCATGTACTCAGCAGGTCTTTCACTATTTGGGAGAAGCTATTTCATGTAGTTGAGTATGTGCTTTCTCTGATGTGAACAGGAATGGTGCTTGCTCCCAAACTGCTCCCGGAGATCACCCTCCCACTGAACATCCAGCAGATAAGGATCTGCACCCTCCCCCTACCAACTTGTGAAATCAGGTGAGGTAGGAGAGGGATGAATATAGGGGGCAGATGAGGAGAGGTGTTACCAGGTCAATGGTGATCCTATGGTCTGAAATTCCTGACATATTGCTGTTTTTCTCGAACAGTGAGGTGATACCCATTGACTTCAGGGTCTCCACCAGGTTATAATTTTTCTCCAGTTTGAATTTGGGCAGGAGCACCTCTCGAGTTCTGTTCAGAGAAGAAATGGAAGTCCAGCTTTATTGAATCATGTATTTCCTTCAAATGTTCAAAACCTAGCCCTCCCACTCCTAGGTTGTATTTACCACAGGATGGAAATATACTTGTTGGAATTGATTTTCTACTACAGTCATTTGAGAATTTGGGGAAAACCATCCCATTATAATCCCAGTTACTTAAAATTGAGGCATGATTATTCATATGTGGTTATTTCCTTGATAACTGTGTTCAAATCCTGTCTTCCAGGTCAGCATCAGAACTGTTAATGGTTTGATTTGCAAAGGCATCTAAGATAATTCTCTTGGTTGGAGTGTTTCTTATTTTGTTTACCTAAGGAGTTTAACTAAGGATTTTAAAAACAGAATCCTTCACATACCAGATGATGTTAAACATTCTTAATTCTTACATCAACTCATTCTGTCCTTAACTGGACAAATAGCAACAATAGTTGGAGGAGAAACAGAGCAGGCTAAATTGATACTGCCTGTGGTCCAGGCCAAGAAACTGGGCTGTATTTTGTGGGCCAGAAGGATCCATAGAGAATTTATGAGAGAGAGGGAACAGAGACAGTGTCTTGGAAACACTGTTCGGGCAGCTAGTGCTGGGTTGGATCAAAGAATGGAATAGGTAGGGTGGTTAGGCCTCCCCCACTCAGGGTTAGAAGTCATGGGTAATGAAGTGTTAGTTAGAAGGAAGGTACAGAAGGGACATTTTTAAGGAAAAATGTGATATGGCTTAATGATTAATTGGTTACCTGCACAAATACCTCTCTCTGAGAGCCTGCTTCTCAGTTTGTTGTAATTTTTGTATTCTTTTAGGAGACCCAATTCTCTTGTCTTCTTAATATGGGCCTAGCCTGTATCCAGTAAACAAAAATATGACTTCCCCATTTTATGCTACAACTTAATAATAATCTTTGTAAACAATTAAAACATATCATTTTGACTATGGAGTAATAAATAATAATAGTGGAAAATCATGCTTAACATGTCCTTAATGGGTTAAGATGATTTCAGGATTGGGGCCTTTCCCTGGTGGCGCAACAGGTTGGAGTGCAGCACTGTGAAACTAGCCATAGCCATAGCTGCTTTGGCATGAGTTCAATCCCCACCGAGAGGTGACCCACATGGCATGGCAGACCTCTGCTGTCTTGCCCACTGCTCCCCTCAGCAATGTACTTTGTCAGTCTGCCTGTTCTGCTCCCCACTCTGTCTCTGGTGAATCTTCTCACTGCCCCTGGCCTCTGGCCTGTATCCCAGTTCTGTATACATAAATAAATACATCTTTTAAGAAAAAAAATCTCAGAATTTCTTGGTTGAGAAAGGATAGTGCTCATCTTTGTGGGACCCTTACCAGATTTCAAGTATCTCAGTGGATTGTGAACATCACTCTTTTACTTATTTCTCACAGTGACTCTTGGAAGTCATGGAACGATGCCTCTTTTACAAGTGATGAAATTGGGGCTCAAAGCTCAAAGCAAGTACTTGACACTGAGTCATGTGTTTTTAACTTCTCAAACTGTCATTGTGGAGAGCAGATGTGTTTCTTAGGAGGCTCTTTGATTGCTTTTGACCAAGAAATTTGGGCTCTACTAACAGTCCAGTGTGGCTATTTCTGGGTATTTCAGCAAATTTTCCCTTTTTCTTAAACTGACTAAAGTTTCAGTATTCCTGGGTCCCCCAGTTTCCCTGAGATCAGATGAACAAACACTCAACCACAGTACCTGTTTGTCATGCTTTTCTGCCATCTCTCGACCACTTGGGGTGTCAGTTGTGTCTCTAGCGTCTTCATTCCAGACAGCTTGTGTGGGACCACAACAAACATGCTGATGCCTCCCACATACTCCAGCTGCAGAACATCACAGTCCAGCTCCTGGTCATTTGCTGCCAGGAAGTTCCCCTTGGTCTGCATCATGGAAACCTTGACCACCTCTCGTTCATTCAACCGGAAGTTGTGGTTGTGTGTCATTTCCACTGGGAATTTATTCACCCAGGATCCTGTAAAATCAGCAGGAACAGGGCTTTAAACACATTTTTTTTTTTTTAAGAGTAGTGGTCCTTGTTCATTAGTGTGTATCAGAAATCCCTAGATGGGTGGTTCCAACAGACTGCAGCTCCAACCCCAGTGTTTCTGATTCTGTAGCTTTGTGCCAAGAATTTGCATAACTTTTAGGTTCTCAGGTGATACTGATGCTTCAAAGGGACCGCACTTTGAGAACCATTTTCAAGGATTCTGAGAATGTCAGAATACTACTGTGTTTGTAGGATATGTGATAATGGTAGATAGGGTAAATAGATTGGAATAAATGCTCGTTTAGATTCTGACACTAAAATGCTTGGGTCTCTACTTATTTATAAATTGAATGACACTGAGTTCATGTCAGTTCTGTTTTGATAGCTCTCATCACTTTGCTATTCTGATAGTGACTTAATTATACACAGTGATGATACAATACTGCCATCAGGGGCTGTATTTTAGATTTGGGTGGGACACTGTATATTCAGGAATAAGCATGTGTTTATTTTAGCTCTAAGGTATTGGTAAGAAGTAATCATGGAAGACCAACAACAGTTGATGGAGGCGTGCTGGGCACTTTCTAGAAGCAAGATTTCTAACTGGTGGGAGGAGCAACTGGATGAGATATGTAGATTCTTTGGGTGGTTTAAACACCAAAATGATTTCTGTGATGGAAACTGGCAGGCCTCTGCACTACCCTCCTCAGCACTATTAACAGATAGGCTGTATAGTTGCCTGTGGTGGGGTCTGTTTTGTGTAGTGTGGGATGTTCAGCAGCATCTCTTTACCCTCTTCTCTCTCTTTCCTGTAACAACCACAAATGTCTCCAGACATTTCCCCTGGATACAGATTTGATACTTCCTCACTTCCTTTTTTGGAAATCACTGTTTTTACTAATTCTGCTGGAGTTTGTCACATGTCTCCTGATAGCCTTTTCTTCAAAGTGGTCATAATGTAACATTTGAAATTAAAAGCAAATTAATAAAATCCAGGCAGGTCAAATGTGAGAAAATTCTTTGCATTTTTTCCTCCAATTTAGTAACACCAGAGGTGGCCTCCCTGGGGCAGCTGTGACTCTGCCCCATACAGTGTACATTTGGAATGTCATTTACTTGTTTTTCCCCAGGTGGCCCCATCTGTATAATGTGGACACAGGTAATATTGACAGTCTCAAGGTTGTGCATAAATCACAGTTTGGGTTCAGTAAGTGTCAGCCCTTACTGTCATCTCATCATGACCTGCCTTTGTCCCTATGAACCTAACCATGTGTTTTAGTTTCGTGGATAATCAGCTAGAACATAATTCTAGGCATTTAGCCTACTTAAAGAGTGTGTCCCAAGTTTGCTTTGTGAAATGTGAAGGTATTTCTTACCTTTAAAGTAGATGCAGTTTAGGATCATCATCTGAGTAGCTGGGTCTATGTTCTCCAGAGCATCTTTTATGAGACCCTTGGTGACACTTAGAATGTGGTTGTTGGCCTTTGCTATGAAAGCAGGGTCTGAGAAGTCAGTTGCCTGAGCTTCTGCAAAGTAGTAATCTCTTACTTTACTTTTGAAGTCATCCAGGATTGGAAATTGTTTCTGGATGTAAAGATCATTGACTGATCGCAATGTGTACCCAAACTTCCTCCTGAAAAGGCGATGGGTCAGCTTCCGGAAGAGATTATGTATGGTCATGATTTCATACTTGCTGCTGGCATTGACAAAGTCTTTGAAGTGCAAAATTGAGTGTACTTGTTCATGAGTTTTCCCCTGCAGGCCCAAAGAAATCATCCCCATGGCTGTAGAAATGCCCACAGGGGCTATGAAGATGTTGTCAAAAGTGTTGGCCTGCTCCTTCAGTGCCCTATAAAGGCTGAAAGCAAATTTTGCATTGAGGATATTGAGACGCTGGATTCGGCTCTTGCCTTGGAAGAGCTGTAGGATGTTTCCAGCATTGGCTTCTGAATCTGTTGGCAAAACTGCATCGATTATGTCAATGTAGTCATCATCTTCACTGAATATCTTCTCCAGATCCAGATAATCCTCATCTTCTTCCCCCTCAGGGATCCAGTCATTGGTGACTGTGTTTTCCTTGTGGAAGTCAGCGGGGAGAATGGACATGCTCAGGTTTTGGTTATTTAACTGCTTCCATTGGGGATCCACAGACTTAGAATCTTTCTCAAGCTGATCTACCAGGCCTTTGATCCCACACGCAAATGTTAGGAAAAGAGAAATAACGAGGACTTGGAATGGGCATTTCATTTTGGCAGAGCTGGCAGGAAAAGCGCAACACAGTGAGAGGTGATCTGGCCCCAATACACATGCACCCTCAGTGCCCCAGCTGCAAGTTCCTCATGGCTCTGACCAGGAACTTGTCCTTAGCTATTTAGGATTAATCTCAAGAGAATCTGAGGAAGATAAATGGATACCTGACATTTTGTGTGAGCTTTTTAAACCTGCCTGATGAATCTATGGGCTCACAGTTGAGAATCTTTTCTTTTAAAGTTTGTAAAACTTTAACTGTCTGGAATACTGAGGACTGTGGGGTCCTGGGAAGATTTGCTGTGGGGATAGGAAGGAGTTTCTTTTTCAGTTTATCCACTATACTTTGTCTCTGTCTCCAAACCTTCATATTAGGTACTAGAGATACAAATGTCTTCCCCACCACGGGACTCACTAGCCAGTTAGGGGACAGACTTAGAATAGAAGTGGGGTCTCGTATAAGATTATGCCATTAAAACACTTGGGAACTCAGCACTGGGTTATCAGGACATTCATGGAAGCTTTCCCAAGAGGTGGGCCTTGAATGGAGATGTTATTAAAAAATGAATATGTGCTATGCCTTCTGAAAAATATTCAAAAGATAGGTAAAATATGTGTATTCCTGTGGTATTGTTTAATTTGTATAACCTTTAGAGTTTGTCTGTATGCAGATGACTCTCTCAAATCTAGTGAAGTGATACTGGTCTTATTCTTAGGAGGTGTTATGGCTTGCTGCAAATGTACTTTTCCCCTTTGTATCTGCTAGTCAACTCCCACTGTTGTCAAGAGGATTTAAGTCTTTCCTACCTAACTGCCTCTAGCATAGGGTTAAAAATAATCTCACAGACACCAGTTAATTGTGAGGGTGAGGGCTTATTGGAGGCACTTTATTTAAGTAAACAAGGTAAGTTTTTTATACCCATGATAAACCTTTCTTTTTCTGTTTCCCCCCTGCTTTTTTGAAGAAAGGATTTGACTTGTCAAATCAGTTTTGCTGCCAGAATGGGTTTGTCTTTCTCTTGTTCACTTCCTGGTCATCTAGGTGGATGACCTGTTATTTAATACATTTTTGTTTCACTAGGGCAGTGACAGTTGGTATTTATAATCATGTGCATACGATTATATGTGATCCTTGCTTCTGATCACCCCAGAAAGAAGAATGGTGTTTTCTTAAGTTTGTTGTATGCATTTAGCCTGTTAAGTATTTGCCAACCAGAATATTTGTTTCCAGTCTAGGTTGGATAATAGTAGCTGGTGCCTGTTAAGCAAATATGTTAATTTATTAGGCCTAAAGTTTGGGACTGTGTGGATACCCCTTTGACTTGATGGAACTCTTGCTCTATGTATGAGTCACTTTTTCTATGTAACTTAATCCCATCCTCCCAATATTTTACATATCAGGACTCTGTTGCTAATGAATAGCACTGACTAGATTATGACCAAGTTGGAAACCCCCAGATTTCCCCTAGTCCCAGGATTGTTTTCTTGCCCTCAACCTTCTTCCTTCGTTGTTCCCCTATAGTACAGTTAAAATAATAAGCTGAAATGTTCTACTCACAACTGCTAGACTTCTGAATTGCATATTTTGGAGATGAAAAATCAGTTTTTGATTGAAAATGTCTGCTCTCTTTTCCCATGCCTCCTTAGTACCACTGAAACTGATGCTTCAGTGTCTCACACAAGTGTCAGTATTTGCGTGGCTGCAATAGAGTTGCAGGGATATTGATGGCAATAGAATGAGGCAGGGATATTGATTGCAATACACTTTAAAAAGTTAGAAAGGAACAAAGTGAACAATTTGATGGAAGTCTCCTTGGTAGGCCATATTTAAAAGTACCTATCTCTAAGGTTAAAAATCAGCTTAAATATGATCCCAGTAAGACAGTGAGATCAGCTACGGTAACAGATAAAGATACTGATAGTATATTTATATCCAGATATATATCCAACTAGCATATCCTGTATCCAGATGGTATATTTGGAAGTGTTTTATGTGCTGTTCTTACTTTTATGATAAAAAGCCAAAAACAGATTTCATTATTCCTTATCAGAGCCAAAAGAAAAGATCTATGATATTTTTTTATGGGTTGAAATCAAGGATCTAAAAGGTAAATCCTCCCAATGTTTATTGTTTTGCCATTTAGTATAACAAAGTTATACTAAATACATTTAAAAACTATCACTGGGTTATGTTTAAATCTTCCTTTGAAGAATAAATTTTATTTTTAAGATAAATCAATTATATGTGATTTCAGTTATATGTGAATTCTATATGATGCTTTCATTGCATGGATTGATTGGGGTTGGAAATTTTGGTTGTGCATCAGATTATAACATCTGGATAGCCTTGCCACTGCTGGCTACTGTTTCCAGGTCCAAAGAGATCAGATATAATGGGAGAGAATTAGCTGCATAGAGTTTTAAAATTTTTTCTTTTGAAAATTCAAAGGTATAGAAGTATTGAAGGCATAATATAGAGAGTAGCCCCTTATACCCCGGCCCAGATTCATCAGGTTTTTATATTTTGAACCAATTACCTTCTCTTCTCTCTTCACACATATATGTATAGTTGTGCATAGTTATACATGTACATTTTTTTACTGATGGGGGAAATGCCTAAGAACAAGAATATTCTTATATATCATTCCAATACAGTTGCTAATTCAGATAGGCTAGCATAAGTACAGTATTTTTTCTATTCCAATTTTGTAAATTGTCCCAATAATATAGCTGAAAGATTTTTCCCCCGATAGGCAGATTAAAAAATAAACATTTTTTTCAATTTCTAAGATAATGAAAACATTGAACTCGTAGTTTCATAGAGAAACTTTATCGGTCACCTATCACTGACCACTAAAAATCATATTTATTATTGGTAGAAATGTAGGAAACAAAACTCACCTCTGTGCTTCAGAGAAGTGGCACTGCAGAGATGAAATCAGCCAAGGTCACCAGTGGGTTTCAATGTGAACTTTGGTGCTGGGCTGTTGCTGTGTATTTTCCAAAGTAAATATATCCCAAATCAAACACCACCCAGCTAGCTTTGTCAGCACAAATCCCAACTATGCCTGTAATCTTTACTGGGTGATTTGTGACTCGTTGCTCTAATCCTGGTGTAAGTGACAGCATAACTGCTGTTGTCATGTGCTTACAAGGAGCGGAATATGACAAAGCCACCACATAACCAAGATCTCCCTCAGACTTCGAGGGCTGGGCTGCATCAGTGAAAACTAGTGCTGCCCTGCAAGTTGGGACTGCTCCTCTGCCCTCCTGCTATGCTTTCTCCCTCTTGGATGATTGCAGCATCTGGCCTCAACCAGGGCTAATGCCTCTGGTTTAGCTACTAGGCAGGTTATCTGTGAACTTGTTTCTCAATAAAAAATGGAGGGGGTATAGGATTAATGATTTATAGAAGAAAGAGACCTTGGCATCTCCTGTTCTTTAGTCAGGAATCTCTAGGCTATCTGCCAGAATTTGTATCCCAGCTTGCTCCTTTATGAGGCAGTGTTTCTGAGCATTGTAGCTTAAACACAGGTCACCTAGACCTTTCATAGGGATCTTAATTTTGTAAGAAAAAACAATATGAGTACTCTGGATTGTCTGGAAGACCAAATTGCCACAGAACTCTGCTTCCTGATTTGGCGACACTTCCTGACTTAGTAGTGTCACCCAGACAGCCTTCCTAAGCATGTGTGTGTGTTGCTTGGATTGAGAACTTATGGTGTACGGTGGCCTTTTCCAGTGACTTCAGCACATAGAAGGTATAGTTGGATGTAACACAGCAATAGACTTGACCAGCTGTTTTTTCTAGAACCTTCATTATTCCTTCACAATACTAAGTCTTTAGCATGTGTACCCTCGGGCCATCTTGAAGAGACTGTTTTATCCTCAGGGGTCAGCTAAGCCCCACACAATTTGCTCCTGGCTAGATGACTCTGTCCTCTCACACACCCTAAGCCCAGGCTCCTGTCAAGAGCCTTGACCCTTCCTGTTCTTTCTATAGGAGCTTTTTCCATCTGAGCGGTCACTTGGCTGCTACTCTCTCACCACTAATTTCCTCAGCTGAAGTTACATTCCAAACCTTCTCCCCCAACCAAGTTCTCCCCTCAAATATGAGGGCAACAAGTACACCAACTGTATAGTCATTGTGAAAATTCAATAAGATGATAACTGTATGGAAAGCACATAGACTGATGCTCAATGCAGTCAATACTCAGTAAACATTAGCTACTACCACTTCCAAGGGTATGCTTTTATTTACAGAAAGGATCAGAAAGCTTTTTACATTAGATGTTTCCTGTATATTTGGATTTCTGGTCATTTAACCCATTATTGAAAAAACTAGATTTTTACCCTTCTTGACTCTTTTCACAGTTTTGGACCTGTTCATTATGCTTTGGGTCCCCACCTTAAAGCAGACCCTCTGTCACACACTCCATTGTTTCCTTTCTAGTTTCCTCATAGTTAGATATGTTTTCTAACTTTTTGAGATTTTTAAATTTATGGAGGAATTGAATAATAAGGGATATCCAAATACCACCGTCTTATATGAAATAGTTTTTGTCATTTGTGCTTACTTCCACCTGATTTTTTTTTTTTTTTTTTTTTTTTTTGGGGGGGGGGGGGGGTGGGTGGGTGGGGTGGGGAATTGCTCCTGAAGTGTTTGAAAGTATAACATTTCAACCCTGGGCAGTGGAGCCACTGTCTCTTAAATGGAATGGTCTTGTCTCTGCTTTGTGTCACTGTTAAATTGGGAAAATCACAGTCTCAGACCTCAGTGGTCCAGTACAAATTGTCAGACTTCCCCATGACTACTTTTGATAGCTTTGGGATTCATGCTTTGCATTTTTTTTTAATCTTTTGTCTTCTTTACCTATTTCATTCTTTACCCCCTGACTTTGATTTTCTTAGGAGAAAGCAGGTAGCTATCTTTTGTAACTCTTTCCTCAGTTTTTGCCTCTCTGGCTTCAGGCCAGACAGAAATCCCCATCATCTGAAAA